TCATACTAATCCACAAGTCTGAAAAGGTCGTTTAACGGATTAGTTGACCAACTGAAAAAAAAAGAAAATGATATTGATCACTGTGAAAGTAAACGTCAAACGCCCCTTTTCCGGCTTCTCAAATATGAGGATGTGCGATTTCAAAGAGTCTTATTTTGAAGAACCCAGACCGGACACGAGGACAAAGCCTCTGCTAGCTTGATCATGTGGGTTAACCCTGAATTCATGTCGAACGGGACATTTGAAGTGTTCGTGACGATTCTCTGGTTTCTACTCACCGACCGGACGCTTCGTTGGAGGCGTCTGTAAAACACACGACAGACGGAGGCACGTGCAGCTGGACACAAGAAACAGATTCTCCAAGATCACAACACACCGCAGCCATGCGCTCTTCTTCTGCTGTGACTCCTGGCAGAGCAACAAGCCGCAGCTCGCCCCCTGCTGGAGGAAACAGTAACACACCGCCCACTCTTACATTCACATGAGAAACTTTTAACTGCAACACATTCATTTAAAGTGACAACAGAGGTGAGTGAATTCTAATCTGTTATCTCTGTTGAATACACAGTATTATTATACATACTGTTTGTTTTATTTGTCTTATTTGGACAGTTTGGATATGTTGTATTCTAATGCAGATATTTTTTTTCGAAATATATATTTTACAGACTCTTGTTCTATTTATTGTAATTATCTCGGTCTGTATATATTTCTATACTTGGTTCGAGGGACAGTAATGACGAAGATGATTATTGTTATTATTATGATTGTTCTTATTTCAGTCTGTGTGTAATGTAAGTGAGCAGAAGGGCCCTCTTCATGTTTGTGCACCGGGTCCACAGTATTTTATCTGACCTTGTGTAGCCACAGAAGGAAGTGACCTGACACAAATGTTTCTGAGGCTCATCATGAAAATATTAATAATGACAAAAAACACACGCTTGTAGTTTTTTTTGTGTCGAGCTTTTACTTTGAAGTCGGGAACCACAGTTCCACCGGAAGTTAGACTGAATGCGGAAGCGCTCAGATGGTGTTGTGTTGTATGAGAGTGTGTGTGTGTGAGAGAGTTTAGGATCGTTTCTATAAAATAAGAAAGTTGTGTTGTGTTGGTTGAATCAATAAAAAGTAGGACACAGGTGAGTCACCGTCATCACAGCATCTCTCACCGTAATGACGTGTTAATGAGGAGCTGTGTGATTGGCTGGAGTTTATTCTGTCTCACTGCCTGACAGGTGATCGCACACGCACACACACACACACACACAACATGTCCTGATGGAGAACATCCCAACACGTCTGAGGTTCGCCAACAAAGTGGAAGATGTGAAACTACGGAAGAGAAAGTCTCAGCTGTACTTGAAGGAAGATGAATGTCCACTGAACAACGGTGAGGCTTTTATTTTGACACATTTCACAGTGAACATGAGCGTTAGTGATTATCTTTGTGTGATTAAAATGAGCTCTCCTTCAACTGGAACAGTGAATCGATACACATTCATTTATACATGACATCCCTCACATGGGTGATTGTTCTTTACAATTAACTACTTTGACTTTACTTGAAATCAAGTATTTTTACATTGTAGTATCGGTACCTTAACTTCATATATTTAAAAAGTATTTGGATAGTGATTATCAGCTACATGATGATAAATATGTGTTTTTTTTCTACAGGTGAGCTGAGAGCCAAAGTTGTTGCGTTTTGTGTTGCGTTCAGACTCATCAACTGCTTCCTGGTTCAGACCAGCTTCGTCCCTGATGAGTACTGGCAGTCTCTGGAGGTTTCCCATCGTATGGTCTTCAAATATCCTTTGGTTAAAAGGGCAGAATTGTGTGACTGTAGATTTTTAATAGTGCAGTGTACCGAGTTATT